AGGACTTCCACCATCGGTGGCCACCACTTGGAAATTGAAACTTTTCAGTGTCTCAAAGTCAAAGCTTTTTAGCGCCACGATACTTCCTGTCACAGAGTTAATGTTCAAAAACAAACCAGTGCCGTCACTACTGTTCCTGTAGATGTGATAAGAGATTTGTGCATTTTCACCCTCATCATGATCAGATGCCCTGACTGAAAATACAGGCGCAGACAGCACATTATTCTCACTGACATAAAAAGTATATGGATTCTGTGAAAATTGAGGTGTGTTATCATTCACGTCCGAGACAACCACACTGATTGTCTTTTCTGATGACAGCGATGGCTCACCACCATCCTTTGCAACTATCTTGATCTCATAAAAAGACTTCTCTTCTCTGTCCAAATGTGATTTTGTCATGACTGCATAGAAATTATCTTGCAAGGATGGAGAAATAACAAAAGGGATGTCTTCATTTGTAAAGCAAGAAATTTTACCATTTCTGCCTGAATCCAAATCATGGACACTTATTAGAGCTACGGTTGTTCCAATCCTTGAGTCCTCTGGGACTGATTTTGAAAATGATGTCACATCAATCTCAGGAGGATTATCATTTACATCTATGATTTTTATTGTCACAGTTTTGTCAGTGGACAAAGGGAATGTCCCTTTATCTGAAGCTTGGATGTCAAGTTCATAACTATGACATTTTTCAAAATCTATTTGACCTGCTACTTTAATTTCGCCAGTCTTTGGATTAATATTAAACAGCTCTTGCAAATGCGCGTCCCCTTCTTTGCCAAACAAGTAAATGATTTCTCCGTTTTCCCCCTCATCTAAATCCGTCGCATTGACCTGCATCACTAATGTTCCAGCAGGTGCATTCTCATTTAAAACAGCCGAATAAACATCTTTTGTGAAAACTGGTGCGTTGTCATTAAAATCAAGCACAGCAACAATAATGTCGATTGTTCCAGATCTTGCCGGCCGGCCACCGTCTACAGCGGTGAGCACAAGCCGGTGCTCCTTCCCAGCCTCCCTGTCCAGCTGCTTCTGTAGAATCAGAAAGGGCATCTTACGATCCTCCCCCCTCTCCTTCACCTCCAAACGAAAGTGGTCACTGTTGCTCAGTTTGTATTGTTGTACTGAAAACTGGCCGCCGTCTGCGTCCCTGGCCGGCTGGAGCTGGAACCTCGCCCCTGGCAATGTGGACTCCAGTATCTCCAGTCTTTTTTGTTTCTCTGGAAACACTGGCGCATGGTCATTGACGTCTATCACCTCAATGGCCACATAATGAATTTCCAAAGGGTTCTCCAACACGGTTTTGAGGTTGATCACACAAGCGTTACCTCTCTCGCATACCTCTTCCCTGTCCACCTTTCTGCTCACGTACAGGACGCCGTCGTCTGCGTTCACGTGGAAAAGAGGTTCCGCCCCACTCCCGACAATACGGTAATCTCGAGTTTTGAGCGCACTCCTGTCGAGTCCCAAATCTTTAGCGACGTTTCCAACAACACTGCCCGCTTTCGCCTCCTCCGAAATGGAGTATCTGATCTGGGCCGAGGCTCTGCACCAAAACGTCACCAAAGCCAGCACGAAAGGTCCACTCCTCCAGCGCTTATTCGTACACACGGGCCGTCTGATTCGTGCCATTGTGTGGAAAATAATACTGCACAGCAAATGCAATTTGCGGAACGAAAAAAACACGTCGCGCTCCTTCACCGAGACTGCGCGAACAAAGATGCAGTTCCGCGCAA